GACCTTTCAAAGATGATGGAGAGTGGCCTAGCGATAACATCCGCCAGCTCCCTCAGCACTCGTGGGTGCATCCCATCGGGGCCCATGGATTTATGGATGTCAAGTTTGGACATTCCCATTCAGCAGCGGGCCCACGTTTTCCCTAGTCTTCCTTTTGCTATTGATGTATTTGAAGAACCCCTTCTTGTTGTCCTTGACATCCCTTGCCAGATTTAATTCCAAGTGGGCCTTAGCCTTCCTTGTCGCATCCCTGCACACTCTGACAACGTCCCTGTATTCACCCCAAGTGGCTTGTCCCTGCTTCCACCTCCTGTACAGTTCCTGCTTATGTTTGAGTTTTGTCAGGAGTTCCATGTTCATCCTGCCCGCTTTGCTCGACTTCTTCCTCATAGCGATGCAGCGTTCTTGAGCGTGGAGGAAATGATCCTTGAATTTGCTGATTGTCACAGATTCAAAGTCTATAAATGTTCTAATGCTCAGCAGTGTCTCAAATCTAAGGCTGAATTTTGTCAAAATTCTGGAAGTTTATCTTAGTTCCTTTTTGTCCAATATATAAGAGTTAATACAGATCTGCCAAAAAACAACCTGAAAAATTTTGCCCAAGATACTGCTTTACTTTATACGATGTTTGTTTCCTTGTAGAAGTTGAAGTAAAGCCAATTGAAGAACCATCTCGTCCATAACAGTTCCCTTTTATTCTTCCAGCAGACTGAAGCAGAGGAAACAGAATATCACAATTTACCCACAGTTCTCTACAGGAGAATTTATACTTTTGTAAAACAAGAATTAAAATAGTCGCATTTGAAAACAGATCAGGAAAAAAACATAACACTATCAGTAAATGTCAGAGAGATGATATCACATCATTTAACCAGTTGCCCCATCGGTGTTTAGCATCACACATCATGCACAGGAGGATAATTTTCAGATACATGTGTCACCATAAGATTACATTCCAGAAACTGTCATCTTGTGCATATACAGTACATCTGCTAGGCATGTCAGCTAGGAGAGAAGGGACCACATTAATCAAAGATTGACAGTAATCAAATCTCATTGTGCCAACATAATAATGCAAGGCAGTCCAAAGTAATGAGATACTATATACCACTAAGTAATTACAGTGCTGTTCTAATGGCAACATTGGGTCAAGGAAAGCATAATCTGTTTACATTTGTCCAGCTGCTTTCTGCTGTCCTGTTGGTAACCTGAAAGTCCTTAATAAGAGGTATATGAAAGAAAGATGCAGATGCTGAGACCTTTTACCTTTTCTCTTCTTTTGATCTCACATTTGCTCATTTCAAGAAATAATTAAAGGCAAGTGACAAAAAAAGGAGGAAAATATAAGTTATTATAATCAGAGATTATAATAAATTTTGGCCCCAATTATGTCAAAAGAGCCTACAAAAAGTGCACTTAAAACACTTCACCTATGCCTTCAAAGGATCCAAGATAACATTTTTATCTCACGAAACCTAAAATATGTGAAATATTTTCTACTCTAAAAGCACATATATAATTTTGTCTCCTGGAAGAGATTAAGATATCAAGTCATTGTTGTAGAAGGAATGCCTGAAATAACTACTGGAATTTATTTAGGAAATTCAAAACTAGTTGCTGCTTTACATCTGTGAAAGTCATCTCAATAATATAATCACTTATTTGTTCATATATGTATTTATACACAAATATATAGGAACTGTATAAAAAAAACACAAAAAGGGAAAATGTATACTTTATCTATAGTGCTTTCCTAGTCAAAAGTCATTACTAGAATTCTGTTGCAATTCAGAAAGTGTCCACTGCCATATTACCAAAACATCATGTACGTAGTTTGAAGCAGCAGTCTGCATAGTCCTAGCCTGTTGCGTTGTCTCCAGAAAAAAAAAAAAAAAAGTTTTCACTTGAAAGAAAACTCTAAGAACAAAAGAGCATGTTCTATTACCAGACTAAAGCCTCCATGTTCGAAACAGTCATTTCTTGGTGTACATTGCTTTTGTAGTAAATTATATTTTAAAAAGTCTCCAAACTAACTTCTATTCACATCTATTAAAGATTTAAAAAATGAGGACTTTTGAAGCAAAAGGGACATAGCAGTGCATACAACATAGTAGACCACAGAAAACCACTGTGATTTTTCTGCTGCTAGTCTGTCTTACCTAAAGAAATGTGCCTTCTATTATCTTGTAAGTTTTATTCTCTAAGTATTAGTATGTCACTTGATTAGATATTAGGAAATCTGAATCCTGTTCTCAGCTCAGAGGTCAGATAGTAAAGGTCAGATAGTCTGACCTTTATCTTGGTCCTAAGTATTTCATGAGTAAAGGCTTTTAGGACAGTCTGCCTTTTAGAGTGTCTGATATAGCGTGCTTTTACTGTGCGCTCAAAGCCAGCTCAACTGAAAATAACAAGAATAACAACATTCAATGGTTTGTGCTCTGGGAAATATGAAGTTAAAATTCACAAGCTGTTAATTACCTGAGCATGACAAGTACATGGCAACTATGTGAGTATAAAAATAGTTCAAATGTTTGCTCATTACAAAACTTTCTAACAAGATTGAAGGATGTCTTGTATGCTGGCAATTTATCTGATGGTCTGTTAAAAATACAGTTATGACAGACAAACGTCATCTCTTTCTCTTTGATTTTATTCTACAGACTTACATTTTCTGGTCATTTAGGGAAAAACCTATGGCATCTCTTCTACAATCTACTTCTAAAATGTATATCTTAATCTAAAACTAAGGCCCTTACGTTTTCAACAAATATTATTTGTCTTTTGTATATCACACAAAGCATATCTCATTAAGAAAAATATCAAAATTTTAATTAAAAGGCAGATAGTCAAAATATAGTTATGAAAATCTCTTCAAATCTGAATCACATCAAAAATCCGGGAAAAAAAAATTATCCCTGGCAACAAATTATACAGATACAAAATTTAATTTTTTTTCCCATCTTCTAAGGAAAAAAACTTTTGTGTATTACATTTATTAAGGTGAGCCAAAACAGTAAAAATAATGTGAACCATACTGGTCACTCTAGCATTCATTAAAAGCTTTCCAATAGTGTGCAATTCTATAAATTATAATCAAATGTTACATTTAATTACTTCAGTTACTAAAAAAAAAAATCCCCTTCTACAGATACATAAAGCTTACTTCCCGAGGCTCAGAACAGTAAGAGTCTCACAGTTATTCATGCTTTCACACAGTCCTTGAGTCTCTCTTTTCTGGAGCCATGCCAGCAGCATCAGGAATGATTTCCTTTTCTGAAGTCACCACTGCATGATTTTTGGAATACGCATTGTAGCTGCAGTTTAGAATTTTCCATCAGTTCCTCTCTCTGGTTTCAGGAGATACATCTGAGCAGAAAAAAATATCCTTTAAGGTATCTAGGGAAGACTTACTTCTCCTCTTCCATTCCTTCTGTCTGCTATGAGATAACCCACTTTAATAACCAACATTACCTACTCATTTCCTACACAATATTTTCTTTTCGGTATTCCACAGGAGGATATTCTAATCAGCATTTTATTTACCAGTCACCAAATAAGTAGGAAAGAGGTCTATGAAACTATGAGGGATAAATAGACAATCACTGCTCACTGTCTCTTCACATACAAGAACTAATGGGCATCAAATGAAGCTAGTAGATAACTATGTTTAACAGGTATCTTAAACTGTAGAACCTGTTGCAGGATGTTGCAAATGTTAAAGTCCCCATGGATTTAACAAGCAGCTGGACAAGTCCATGGAAGAAAAAGCTTTTAACAGTTACTAAACATAAAGCACCACCTTTGAGAAAGCCTTCAAGCTGCAAATTGTTGGAAACTAGGAAAGTAATAAGAGAAAGTATCATTATGTTTGGTCTGTTTTTATGCTCTTCCATAGGAGTTTGCTGTTGGACACTTGAAAATAGGGTTCTGACAAGACAAAGTTATTGGTCTGACCATTATGGCCTTTTTTAAAGGTCTAGTAATATCTCCTACATAGAAATAGGAGACTGCGAATAACAAAGAATCTACAACAGGGACGGATCAAAACCCCTGTCGCCTAGGTACTAGAGAATAAACAATTGTATTAAAAAAACATATATCTTTCCTTATTTAAATCTATTAAATAAGGATTAACAGAGATGACATTTTATCTTTTGGATATATCTCACTAATTCTGGGTAAAGAAATTTGGAAACAGTGAGGTTCTTTTAGCTTATCAACAGAAAGTTGGTTAAAAAATAAAAAAAAAGAAAAGATAAAAAGTCATATTCCTCTAAGTCATTATTGTCATAAAACAGATTCAAACGCTCGAGAGAGAAAATTTTGGATTCCTTGGATTAAACAGCCCTAAATATATAGTTTCCAGTAAAACTTTCTCAGTCCCTTAACAATATATATGTTGTTTATACATGTTAAAACATGTTGTTTAATATACAAGGACTCCACTCTTGGCCTCCCCCTTCACTGCCTCTTAAATCACCAGCTTAATGTTTCCTGAAGAACAAGGCCCACAGATTAAGCATTAGAAAAAAAAGAATAGGAAATCTAGGTAGTGTTTTTTAAAAAGCATGAAATTCCCAGAGAGCTCTTTACCTTGGTATAATTGCTCACTGGCCATCTTTTATGGTGGATGGAGTTCAGTTAGGATCAGTTATTTTGTCTTGGCTTATCTACACGCTCCTTAAAACCACACAGACAAGTCCTGGGATTTACCAATAAAGCAGAACACATGGTTCTCTTTTTTTTCTTCTTCTAAGTATATGGCAGGATAGTCCAAAATACAAAATAATGATATGTCTCAACAATCTTGGAAAAAGAAGGGGATCGTTATGTGCAGTCAGACACATTTGTTTTCAAAACAGAGCAAAATTTAATATAATTTTAATTAACTTCCAAACAATTTTACTCAAACTTTTGGATTGCCTAAAAAATAATAAAAAAATATTTTAATAGTTAGGCACATTAAGGGTACAAATCACTGCTTTGTTCTTAAACTTAGCAGTCAGAAACCAACCCGAGCAGAGAAGCCAAAGATGAAGCCAAACCAGAAACGCACCTGTGTGAAAGTAAAGTTTTTGTAGAAGAAATAACACTTGCACATTCTGAGATAAAACCACCTGCCATAAACAAGAGCAAGTCTCTGCAGGTATCTGAATAGGGCAAATGAATAGGCACTGGCCAAGACTGCTTGCATTCTTTCCTGGCTACTGATGACAACTCCTGTGTGTGCACCTGCAAGCAAGCAGAGAGGAAATTTACTTTTACTGAGTAGCTGAAAAAACCCCAGATGTCCGTTTATTAAACTATCACGTAGACAATTCCAAACAACAGATATAATTACTGTCAGTGTAAGACATTATCCTAGACTAAACGAAACGTGAAATAGAAGTCAAAAGTGCTTATGAAAGAAGGAATATTCTCACATTTTCACTTTCTTTCATGACTCACTTATATGACTCCTCCATTTGGAGGAGCTTAAGAAGCTCCCTATGTAAGATAATTTTTTTGTTATGATTTTTAAATAACCCACAGTTCTCCTCTTTCTGCTTCTACATCCTCTTTAACTTTTCCTCCCTTCCATTGTTGTCTCTAGAGAAGCATTTCCCCATTCTCACCAAAACAGATGAACTAGGAAAAACAAAGGCAACTTAACTTTATACATAACAGTTATAGAATAATCCAGTTAGTGCAAATTTGTGGAGTTCTACTCTGCTATTTTTCCTGCTTCCATAATATGCCATCAGAATATGTGGTTCTGAAAAACTACAGGGCAAGGCTAGCAACAGCATAATGAAATAATGTAAGCAAGCAGCTCAGTCTGTTATTCATCATAAAGTCATTTTATTAAATCATTTTATGGCTGCCCATTAATTAATTAGAAATTTATATGCTTCCTGTATATTGTTACATAGCTATTGTAGTGCATAAAGGAACTTCCAAGTGTCTGACAGTACAATAAACAGAGTAGCTACTAATATTAACTTAGGTATTAAGCATTTGCCATGCTTAATATTGTACAACATTCTGATATAGCCACGCTGTATCCTGAACTTAAGAGGAACACCAGTCAACTGGGAAATTTTGCAGGATATCTAAACATAATACCACAGAACTGTATTTTCTTTAAACATTAGTTCTGATTAACTGAGATGCCTGCATGCAATTAAGTGACATCCAAGCAAGGATGCTCTCTGTTGTGTTCTGAGGATGATGGTGCCATCCTTTTCATCAGGACAATAATACAGTACAGATGCTATCAGGTCCTTCATTTAGTAGTTCAGCCCAGACAGGTAAAATAAGTGACCCTTTGTGCAACAGATTTGCAGAATCTTTATTCCATCAAAAACGTAGCTATGAGCAAAACAAAGCAATGAAAGAAGTATTTCAGCTAACAGTAGAAGATGCACCATCTGTTACTCAAAAAAATCTTCTTAAATCAGGGTGAAAGGTGAGCCTTTGGAACAGCAGTTAAGAGGATTCAATCCTATATTACTTAGTAAATACCTTGAATGAAAAGGAAGTCCATGACGGCAGACAGAGGAAGACTCCCACTCATACCCCTCAGCCTCTAGTATTCTACCTGTAACTGATAGGCCATGAAACAATTGCTAGATACTAACAGCTATCAGCTTTCCCATTTGCAAAACACAGCCAACTTGTTCAAGTCCTTTAGTTGTGCTCTACTAACAATATGTTTAATGTAAACATTTTTAACTGTAAAAGTAAGATTGCATTTTAGTAAAATAACCAACAGCTGGAGGATATCATGGAAGCTACAGTTTTCCATATATTTGAAAGGTGACCATGCAAAGTCATAGAGGAAAAATCCACCAGGCACTAAGAAACAAAGGAAACACTCATCTTCCTGAGATGCACATGAGCTACACGAAGCAGCACAAGCATCTCTGAACGGTTGCTCTGTTCTTTTGCTCTTTCCTAGCCCTCTGCTTTTAGTAACTGCTAAAGATAGGATCCTGAATTGGACTAGTTTTTGATCTGACTCAGTTTAAGTTCACCCCATGCGGAGTGCTTTATTTCTTTACCACAGTTCCTTCCAAATGCCAAGTAGTAGTGTAATAGCTGATATGATTTTTTTCCCCAAAAAAGTTTAAATAACTCTTCAAGAAATAATTTTTTTTTTTTTAGAAACGCTTTCCTAAGCAATGGGCCTGCTATAAATATCAATTTATTAATAAACCATCTTTGCATTTTTATTAACATTCCCCCTTACTTTTGATTAGGCTGATGTCATTAGCTCCATCTCCTACGGCCAATGTGACTGCCTTTCTGTGTTTCCTAACCAGCCCTACAACTTGTGCCTTTTTTAAAGGAGTGACTCAACAGCAAGTTACTCTTGCACACACAGGCAATTTCCAAGAATTCTTTCTTCTGACCAGCTTCAAGAGCAACAGCCTTGAAAAATAAATTAAAAGAAAAGAGTTTTAAGTCAGCTGTTTTTATAAAGACATGACATTGCCCATTCTGTGCATTTAACGAGTGGGTTATCTTCTTCTGCAGCAAACAATTTTAAAGGAATTTTAAGTAACTGAAGCATTTAGCTGAAAATCTCATTCTTACTATCATAAGTCATCCTCATATGTATGTATAATAAACACATACGTAGCATATATAATCCCAATACAATGATTTTATAAAATACATTTTCTTGCAAAATACTTGATTTTACCATTATGTACTAAATACTAAAAAGCAAGCAACTCCCTAAAATTAGCTACTTGAGAAAAATATTCAGCTTTCCAGCTGACACTGTGAGAATTAAAAAGTAAACAAAAAGACTTCATAAAGTGAACTATCAACTCAGTAAGCATTTAGGATAGAAAATGTGCATTTCTTTCTAATTGAGGATGTACAACTATTAACTTTTGCAAATATCATTACATAATGTTCAGCCATACCCTCAGACAGCTCTCTCTCTTGGATTTATATTTAACACAACAGCTAACCACATATAGAACGTAGCCAGGAACACACATTCTGCAACATCGTCACATATATCACAGGATTTCATCTACTGTGACAATTGTTACATTAAAATATAAAGAAAGGAGCAAAAGGAGGGAAGAAGTTAAGGAGTGCTGCAAGTCACAGGATATGGTAGAAAAATATGTGGAAAGTCGAACAGAATTGAAGATAGTGTGCTTTGCAGAGTCAAGAGAAATCAGGAGGGGGGTAGAGACTAGAACTACTAACTACTACTAACTTGTATCTTCTAAAGCAGCTACATTCTCATAACTGAAGCCTGAAGCTTTATTAACATTATTTGCAAGTCAAAAAACACTTTGCAATTCACTCAAGAGTTCAAACCTGAACTACATAAAAGTAACAGAAATTTGTTCTTATGACAGGAACCAGACTTCCTAATCAAAGCAAGTTGTTTTGGCATTCCCATAAAATGCTGATATTCAGAAAATCCACTGGAGGTAGTTTAATGACATTAATTTGATGTAGCAATGATTTTAAGGTCAGGTTGTGCTCTCAAGCAACATCAGAAAAAATAGTTGTACTACATCTGTCTAGTTGCATTTTTCAATTAATTGGCATTGGTTTTGTGATACTCCTCTCTCACAAGCAGTTAATAACATCAGTGGTATTCTTCTAAATTAGTAAGGAATAAGAAGCTTTTCTGATTACAAAACCCTCTTTAGTAGAGTATTTAATTTAAAAAGCTGTACAGGATTACTAACGTGATTTCTTTTCCAAACAGATCCAGAGCTAAAAAATAAGTTCTGATTTCTTCAAGCTATGAAGGAGTTCTAGAGCACAAAGAAGAAAACAGTCATTCCTGGAACAGAACACACAATTGGAGTGGGGAGGAGAGGACATGAAAGGGACCTGCTTACCAGTCTCTTGTCTATTAACTACTAACGCATAATTACCAGTGACAGTCCTGTCCCAGAATGAGCCCTGGGCTGACTTTTAGACTTTTTCATAGAGTAGCTAACCACTGGAAAGTTCTTCATTTTTTTTTCAAACAGATGTTCTTTTACTTTCCTTAAAGAAAAAGAAGCTTCGGAAAGGAATATGGCTACCTGAAAATTAATTCAAGATAATAGAGAAGAACAGAAAGAAATTACTCCATAAGATCCATTTTCCAGAATAATTCTTTCCGACGAGGATATGGTAGGTTTGGTTTTTTTTTTTAAATAACCTGTAGAATTTCAGTTTGCAAGTACAAAGGAAAGAAAATCATTTTGAACACTTTAAAAACTATGAACTCAATAGCAACTGATTTGAATTTGTACTTCAGTGACTGGGCAACTGTTTACTATTAAGATTTTCCAAACTTCAAGAAAAGATCAGCTTGACCCAGTAAATACTTTGGGTTTGGATCAGAAGAGCAAAGAAAATTGAAATAAATACAGGGAAAAATCTTTTTCCAGAAATTCTATCAGAAACTACATTAATTTTAAACAGACATACATACATAGGAAATACATTTCAGAAGAGTACTCTCTGAGATCTTTTTCAAAATACACATATGCAAAATATTTTTTAAACATTCTTTTTCTGATTTGCTACTACTTTTGCTATAGTACATTAGAAAGACAGATAGAAACATCTAAAATTACTGAAATGGGTAGAGAAATTAGAACTGTTACTGTTCTGTTTCTGTAACTAAGGGAACTAATCCTATACCTGAAGCCTGGCATCCTCTCCCCTCTGACCTCTGGCTTTTCTATCTTTTTTTTTTTTTTAAATGGATCTTAAGTGCAAGAATCTTAAGAAAAAAAAGATTTAAAACCTTTTTCTCAAAAAACAGAGGTTAAAAAGATTCCATGCACATGCAGGTTTCATTTTGCCAAGATAAACTTGAGGGTGAAGAAAAGGTGGTATAAGCAGCATGAAAAGGCAAGCAAAATTTTTTTTTTTTTTTTTAAATCTAGCAGTAAGTGATGATCCTTTCCAGAGAAGTTTAGGTTACCTAATGTCATCAGTGAGTGTCTACAGATCTGGCTCACCTTTACATTGTAAGATATTTTTATTTTTGTCCTGAATTATTTATTATCTAGAATATCTTTATTGTTAATAATTCTTGTTTCTTTATTCTTCAGGGTTGGTGAGGTTTTTTTAATTTTTTTTATTTTCCTGGAGGTGTATTGATTTTGCTTGGTAGAAATTTTGTATAAGCTTATATTTGTGATTGAGATAAAGCTGTTTTGTAGAAGTTTATTAAAACTGAATGTTAATCTCATTGCCAGGATGTTTGCTGTATAAATATACTGCAGTGCCCTACGTGCAGAAGAAAAGGAGGCTGGAAGAAGGAGAAAAGTACAAGTCGAAATAAGGACAACAGCACAGCTACTGAGCTACAGAAGCTTGCTCTGATGTCCTATCGAGTCTGATAGACAGGGTTTTTTTTCCCCAGCCAAAGCTCCAAAACTCATAACAAACAAATTCTACCTGTCACATAGGAACTCTTTTCTCCCAACAAGAAAGAAGCACTTATTGGTGAGTTGTTCTACAAGGTCAGGCTGATACAGGTACACGTTAGAGTGTTATTTAGAAGCTCTCCTTGGATGGGCCACTATTACAGATGGAACATGCATAAGTAGGTTTACTATTTTCTAAATGACTCATTCCTATGGTATAAAGGAGCAACATCTGAGAATTTGAGACTGTTTTGGCACACTAGGTGCTGAACCTAGTTGATCTACTGTGTAAACAACTAGCTGGTAGCATATGACAGCAGTAGAGCACACTTGAGAATGATCATATCTCATGAACAGAGATCTTGAGTATCTGCAATTCATATCCTCTACTTCCCTTTTTTTGCCCTTTCAGTAACTTCAGTATTGGAATAACAGACACATTGGTATATACAATCATTTTTTAATAATCTTGGCTATTTTACCTCAGAAAATTCTCGATTTATTTTCTTAAATTTTAATAATTAACATAGACTTAATTTAAAAGAAGCTGGTCTCAGTATATTCAAATTCTAAAAAGGGCCACAAAAGAAGGTCTATCCGAGCTTCACTGATCCAGTCTTGATGTTATTCCAAAAATTTGTGTGTGTTTGCTTCAGAAAAAGTAGACCAGTTACTGATTCAAATAAGCTTGCACAACAGTGCATTAGTAATACCAGTAGTCAACAGCAATAACAGTAACTGTAGTAACAGCAGTAGTCAAGAAACCCCAAAATAAATGTTTCTGAGCAGAGGCAAGGGTGGGGGTTTTTTTCCTCCCCATATTCAGTTTTTGCAGGAAACCTTTGTCAGTTGAAAAAACAGCATTTAGTACGTACTTGCAGGGCATAATGATGCCATATGGTTATTTTGAGAGCAGTCTGACTGTTATGCAATTGAGCACAGGAAGTGGCCCAGAGCAATGAGGTAACTGGTACCCAGGGAAAGGCTGACTTTTGTTCTTTGAAGGCCACCTGGTGGTCGAATTTGTGAAGTAAGTTGATTAGACAGAAGTGCATTACAGTAAAAAACCACCTTCAGAGTAAAGGCAAAGTGTTAAAAGGGAAATAAAAACTGACCTCTGTGTATGAAGATGAACAGTAAGATATGCCTTGATAGGAAAAATGGTACAGGAGTTTTATTAACTAAAGGAGGAAATCTACTTAAAATTTTTTCACACTTTTTCACATGCTTGGAGGAGGTAATTAGAAGTTACTTATTTTTAAGTAAATTCTCATCCAAAGCAACTGTACACTGATTAATAACACATTTAAGATAGATCTTTCAGTGAGGTAAAACCAGAGTCTATGGTAACTCTATTGCAGTGGAAATTACTACGGTATTACAAATACTATTAAAATCATCACAGTGAGTGAGGTGGGAAAGGAATTAGAAAGACACATGTTAGAAGTCAGTTGCTGATAACTCATTTACCAGAAAGTTTGCAAAGACAGCACTCTCCACCCTCCATGATTCTAAACATTTCTTTACCAGTTCAATAATATAAAACCTGTCTTAACTGTTAGTCAGAAACAACTATGATTAATTCTGGAGTTTGGGGGGTTTGGGTATGTGGGGGGTGGGTTTTTTGTTTTTGTTTTTTTTACTTAATTCAGCTCTTTTCAGTACAAGTGACAATTTTTTTTCCCCTTTTCAGTTTTGTTTCATAAGCTGTCCTTTCCAAAGAGGAGTGATGTTCATGCAAGGCAACCTAAACGGTATGTTTAATGACTTCAGACAAGCAGTAGAATTCATATGGATTAATATATATGATGGTAGCATTGACCATTAATAATTTTAAGTTTTTCTGTGCACCATTTGTTGAACAGCATCATGTTACTTGGCACCTTATTATATACATTGTTAGCATTCAGCTGTCTAGATTATATAGACAAAAGATGTGATAATACACGATACAAAAGATGTGATAATACACGATACAAAAGATGTGATAATACACGATACAAAAGATGTGATCATATACATTTTATTCCCCTGGGATCATCTTGAACATATTTCCAAGAGAAAACAAAGAGCCATTATATTTATTTCATATTTTTCCTGTCTCATTCTCACACTGTTTTCTTGCAGGCCCTAAACCTCCCTGGTTAATTTTCATGCTGGATTTACCCCCTTTATTTTGCCTCTCCTTGCCCAACTATTTCAAATAAAATTGATTTTATGTAAGTGATTTTCATAGTCAAAACTGTGCATTTTGATATAACAACACATATCGGTTCAACCACATGTACATTACAAATCAGAAGAGTAACTAGTGAGGATAAATTTTCCATTTTTAGATTTATAGTATATTAAATATATAACTAAGGCAGGACTGAAACGCCTAGCAAACTTAACTTAGTTAAAAACATTAAAACAACAACAACAAAAAAAAACACACGCTCATAAAAGATTGGTTAAGTTCTGAGAGCTACAAGATCTGAAGAGTCTACTCTCTGAGGTTCTCACAGCTTCTGTGACAAGCTATTCAAAGACACTTAGGTACTTTTCAGGAATCTGATTATTTCCAGTCCCTGTCTATCTGCCTAGAAATAGAACATCTTTAACAGTGCAAAGGTTTTTTGAGCACGTATGGTTGGACTGTTAAGTGGCTGCTGGACTGTTAGGCATTGCAAAGCTGAATGTCACTGTCTTTCAGAACCTTTGGGATTCTTGATGCTTGCCATTTTGCAGATATCATCACCTGCACTGAGCAGAATCCTTACACTCCATGTAAACTGAGACTCCAAAGAGCAAATGAGCTCACTGTCATTTTAAAGCATTTGAAAATAGGTAGGAAGTGGCCTCAGCAGCCAACTGCAAGTACGCAGTATGTCACATCATACATGGAGTCTACTGTGCACATGCTGCACTACTGATCTGCACAAGCACAGTAAGCCTGCCTCACTGTCTGTACAATTAGACTGATGGGTAGAACCCAGAGGACAAAGCATGACCAGACAGCAGCTATGGCAAC